CCCCGGAGGACTTGTCCACCTGTCCATCACTCTATCACCCACGTGTCATAATCAAATTAACTGTTTCTTAAAATTCTGAGCTCCCTAAAGGCACGAACTATGTCTGATTCTTTCTGCTCTCTAGCATCCAGCTTTTTTTTTAATCCACTGAGAAATGTGCACTGAGCACTGCCCCTGTGCCAGGTCTGGGACCAGCCCTGGGGACAAGATGAAGCTCACGGTCTGTTTCAAATGCCTTGGGAACCTGGGAGGGAGGGCGAGCTTAGTGCCTGGCAGACGGCAGGGGCTCTTGAGTGCCCACACTCCATTAAAACTACCTCAGCTCAAGTCAACGTGGATTTGTAGGGAAAGGCAGTATGGAGTGATGGTTCGGTGGGTGAGTTCTAACATCAGGCTGCGAGGTTTGATTCCTGGCTCCATCGCTTCCTGCTGTGGACAAGTTACTCACCCTCACCGTACCTCCACTGCATCACCTGTAAAATGGAGCTCTTAGTAGTAACCGTTTTAACATAGTAACATTCTATGAGGATACAATGAGTTGAGACACATGGTGCACTTTGGAAAGTGCCTGAGAACATAAGGTACCAAAGACACTTTACTTACTGATCACCTACTATGTGTCAGTCACGGAGCTGAACTTATGAGACACAGTCACTGGGAAGTGCCTGCCAGGCCAGGGATTCTAATTCCTAGTGTTCCTTGTAGCTGGCTGGGGCCAGGTGAGAATGGTCGGTGCAGGCAGATGTGGTATGGGCACTCCCAGGCCTGGCCAGCCCATGGGAACCTCTGCGGGACCCTCCATCTTCTCACCTACCCCTCCTACCAGCTGGATGCTGACAGCAACACCAGCCATCCTTGGGAGCCCGGTGCTGGAAATGGCAGAGCCTGCGGCCTGTCGTTTCAGTGAGTGCTGAGATTCTCCCTGCTGAAGCGGGAGCTGCAAGAACGAGAAACAAACTGCTAAGCCCAAGAGTTCTGAAACTGACCAGCGAGCATTACCTTTACTCATTTAAAGTACAAAGAGCCTGGCTGGGTTGGCTCAGTGATTGAGTGTCGACCTATGAACCCAGAGGCCACAGTTCGATTCCTGGTCAAGGCACATGCCCAGGTTGCAGGCTCAATCCCCAGTGTGGGGTGTGCAGGAGGCAGCCGGTCAATGATTCTCTCATCATTGATGTTTCTCTCTCTCCCTCTCCCTTCCTCTCTGAAATCAATTAAAAAATCCCAGCCTTAGATTTCAATCCAAGTAGTAAAACTACTCTGTAAGAAAAGAGAGGGAGGTAGGTGGATAGATGGATACAGGTAGGTAGGTGGAGGGATGGACGATTCCTTAGCAGACTCTATCCAGACAGGCAGGCAGACAGAGGATTTGTGGCAGCTGTCACTGAACTTTGGCCACACCAAGGTTCCCTCCAGTGGGCCAAACCAACGCCCTCGGTCACCCTAACTGCCAGGGCTGCCGCTTCCGCCCTGCACTGGACGCTGGCATCGCCGACTCCTGCCTGACCTCGCTCTTTACTTTAAATGACTCTCACACCCTCACACGCCTGCATCACAAACGATCACGATGCCTTCTCCCATTCCCGATCCCAGATCACTTTCTTTCTTTCCCACTCCTTCACTATTTGCTGAGTGAGCTCCTACTGTGTGCCAGGTGCTATAATAGTGGTTTATCAGCATTATTCCTACTACTCACAACCATACACGACAGATGTTCCCACTTCGCAGCTGGAGAAAGACTACCACTCAGGGTCAGGCAGCGGCAGGACGGCGTGGCCTGAGCCACACACAAGTGGAGACAAATCAGATCGTCTCTGGAAGTCCCTTTACGGGAAGAATCCACATCAGGTACTTTCCACGTCACAATGCTCGCGATGCGCAGGTGGAAGGGGAACATGCTTGCGTGAGAAAGTGACTAGTCTTCAGGTCTCTGAGCAGCACAGCCTCTCTAAAAACAAACCTCATTTCTACAGGTAACTTTTCGGGGCTGAGAGCTGAAAACAAACTATTCCCACGTTTGTATTAACAAAATCACAAGAAAGTCATAAAAATATTTTATTTAAATGTTAGGGAAAATAATTATACATACTTAAAAATCATTAAAAGCTCATACGTTAAACATGCTGAAAACCCCATGATTTACACATAATGGTAAAATCCAAAGAGGAATGCACAGAATATGTTCAGTTGGTCCTCTCACTGGCGAAGGCATTACACAGTGGGTCCACAGTCACTGCTTGCGGGTTAAAGGCACATGGACACGTCCGTCACCTCACAAGTGAAGAGTGAGCAATCCACCTACAACCCTGGGAGCAATGCGCATCTATAATGAAACTGCATGTAACTTTCACACCAATACTTTCTCCATGATTCAGACAGACTCACACTGCAACTTAGTTATTTCTATTTTGAAGAGAATACTCCTATTCTGAATCTGAAAAATCATCTGAGTTTAAGAATATGCAAATAAAATATAATTTATTCTCATTTCAACCACAGATCAGTGAAGGTACAATTTTTCCTAGGACACCACTCACTTCAGGATGCTTTTCCCCCTTTGGAACGCTGCCAGCCAGCTGGATGTTTGATGGTTCAGTTTGCATGCCCTTGAACCTGAAAGAAAGCCAGCATTTATGTCCCACGTGAGACAATGGGTACTACGCTGTGGCTGTAGTGTGAGGAAGCAGTTCAGTCTACAAGGCTCTTCATGACCATTGATAGTCATGTCAGCAGGGAGTTAAAAGCTTCCTAACATGTGCAAAAACTCAAAACTGAAAAAGATTTAACACCATTTCAAGGGGGAAGCAGGGGACAGAGTCAGACAAGGTGACACTTGTCAACAGGATAAAGGGCGCACTCTAAGAGTCCCGGTGGCCCCCCCACAGCAATGTGGAGGGGACTCTGCACATCAGTGTGCTGTGGTCAGATTCTGCTCATCAGTGTGGCCGTGGTCATGGATGTGCTGGCAGTGTGTGTGGGACTCTGCTCATCAGCGTGGCCGTGGTCATGGAAGTGCTGGCACAGTGTGTGGGGACTCTGCTCATCAGCGTGGCCGTGGTCATGGATGTGCTGGCACAGTGTGTGGGGGGACTGACTCTGCACATCAGCGTGGCTGTGGTCATGGAAGTGCTGGCACAGTGTGTGGGGGACTCTGCACATCAGTGTGGCCGTGGTCATGGAAGTGCTGGCACAGTGTGTGGGGGGACTGACTCTGCACATCAGCGTGGCCGTGGTCATGGAAGTGCTGGCACAGTGTGTGGGGGGACTGACTCTGCACATCAGCGCGGCCGTGGTCATGGATGTGCTGGCACAGTGTGTGGGGGGACTGACTCTGCACATCAGCGTGGCTGTGGTCATGGATGTGCTAGCACAGTGTGTGGGGGGACTGACTCTGCACATCAGCGTGGCTGTGGTCATGGAAGTGCTGGCACAGTGTGTGGGGGACTCTGCACATCAGTGTGGCCGTGGTCATGGAAGTGCTGGCACAGTGTGTGGGGGGACTGACTCTGCACATCAGCGTGGCCGTGGTCATGGAAGTGCTGGCACAGTGTGTGGGGGGACTGACTCTGCACATCAGCGTGGCCGTGGTCATGGATGTGCTGGCACAGTGTGTGGGGGGACTGACTCTGCACATCAGCGTGGCTGTGGTCATGGATGTGCTGGCACAGTGTGTGGGGGGACTGACTCTGCACATCAGCGTGGCTGTGGTCATGGATGTGCTGGCACAGTATGTGGGGGGACTGACTCTGCACATCAGCGTGGCTGTGGTCATGGAAGTGCTGGCACAGTGTGTGGGGGGACTGACTCTGCACATCAGCGTGGCCGTGGTCATGGATGTGCTGGCACAGTGTGTGTGGGACTCTGCACATCAGCGTGGCCGTGGTCATGGATGTGCTGGCAGTGTGTGTGGGACTCTGCACATCAGCGTGGCCGTGGTCATGGAAGTGCTGGCAACATCAGGCTATGTACCTTTCTTTCCTAGTTACACTGACTTCCCTCTAAAACTCCAGAGGGAGAATATGCTGCTATTCGCAGACATGTCCATTTTCATTAGCACCTCGATAACTTTTACCTCTCTGGGCCTCATTTTCATCCTGTAAACTGATGTATGAAGTCAACTTCCTCCCAGTTCTGATACAAGCGACGGGAAGGGAGCAACCACCTGTCCTTTTCACGTCCCTAAGCACTGAGTGAGTCCTTTGAACACACGTGTTTAATAAACGTGCTCTCTGACACTCAGCAAGCAGACCCCCCCATGTGGAGCCACAGGTCCAAGGAGGGGCAGGGGTCTGTGCGGAGGCAGAAATCCCATACATAAGACAAAGGGAAAAGTTGGTGTGCCATCCATCAGATTTTTATGAGGCAGCCAGAACAGTCAGAAAAATGGCAGAATTTTTTCCCCCAATTGGGTAAAATTGTTCATTTCCCCCAAATTCCCATTCCTTAAGAACAATCTAACCCATAGTCACTTGTATGTAAGTTGACTTCAATGAAGACTGGTCCCAGGTGTGAACGTGTTTTTACTAGAAGGTGCAAGTACTGCCTCCCTAAGCCCTTTGGAGGATGGGGGGCCCTCTCGAGTCAGAACTGCATTATACACAAGGGCAGGCTCCCCGTCCTTCCATCTGAGCTCAGCGGGAAACAGCTCCGGTGTGAACACAAATGCACCAAATCACAGGGAGTCGCCTGAAACTGTTGTGAAAGATGTTCTCCAAACGAGGGCAGTAAGAGCAGACCATTCCCGAGCTCACCTGCAGGGATCATCCGAGGAGCGAGATGAACATCACAAGGCCCATGAACTGGGTGAACAGCAGCAGCGGAGTGAAAAACGCCCACACGGGCCACAAGGCGATGTTGAAGCTGAAAGGAAAAGACCACAGGCTGACAACCAGCTACCACCCACTCACGCTTATTCCGCTGTAGAGTCTGCAGCTGGAGAACTGTTATTACTCAATTTGGACCAGTTCATTCAGCCAACAACATTATGTGTATTTTTTTTCTCTCTCAAAGATGTGATCTAACAAATATTGGAACTATCATAATCTCTTCAAAAAGTACTTGGACTAGAGTCACAGGTCTTCTAATGCAGGCCGGCTTGGCTTAAGGGAACTTAAGTGATTAAAGTCGGGGTCTGCAATGGGACATGAACTAGAATGGCCGTAGTCTGCTCTCAACATCCCACACTATCAAACCATTACGGTAAAAAGATGGTTAAAAGCATTTTTCTGTTAGAAACAGAATGAAAAAAGCAACCATTTATAACTTGCTATTAAATTTTCCACTGAGAAAAACACTATTCCTATCACTAAGGTAAAACACTTTAAGTGCAACTGACTTTTGTGAACTGAATTCGTAAGAGCAGAAGGTAAATGGGAAGAACTATAGCCAATTAAATGCTTCAGACAGTTATTGACTTTAAAATGTAACCTTTTAGTAAGTAGAACTTTAAAAGAGCTATAATTATACTGTCCTGAAAAATTAAATAACATTTCTGGGGGTGACAGTAGCCTTGTAAGAAAGTGTAAAATAACACAGCTGTCTACCTACATTACTGAAGGGTTAATAAGAGCCACATCATAACGTAGTATGTTAAATACCCTTGACCTTCAACTACAGAAAATAAATCATTTTTTAAAAAAAAGATTTAAACTGAGTATGTACAAAAGCAGGTGGTTCCCAAAATCATAATTGATTTAACATCAAGAGAGAAACAAACTACAGGGCTACACCCACGAAACAGCACCTCACCACGACACTGAGCCACGCAGAGCGGCACTCTCGCTTACCCACTGGCCTGTGGGAAAGCCCGTTTCTTTTATGTTGTTTCACTTACCGTCACAGACCCTAACGACGATGTTAAGTGAGGACTCACTGTACATAAAGAGTAATTTTTCTCCCTGACAGGCAGGATCCTGGGATTTATTTCTTTTGTATTTACTGTATTTAACAGATATTTCTTCAGTGAGCAAGTGTACTTTTGCAAACATTAATAAAATCACTTTTTTTTCACTGAGTGCCTATTAACTTATGAAGAAAGACACCAACTGGGGTATTTTTATAAGAGCAAAAGCATATAGCCCTAGCTGACTTGGCTCAGTGGATAGAGCATCAGCCTGCGGACTGAAAGGTCCCAGGTTCAATTCTGGCCAAGGGCACATGCCTGGGTTATGGGCTCGATCCCCAGTAGGGGATGTGCAGGAGGCAGCCGATCAATGATTCTCTCTCATCACTGATGTTTCTATCTCTCGCTCCCTCTCCCATCCTCTCTGAAATCAATAAAAATATATTTTTAAAAAATAAAAAGAAATTTAAAAAAAAGAACAATCTCGTTGTAAAATAGTGTGGCATTATTTACTGAAATTGGAGGCATGCACACCCTATGAGCCAACAATTTCACTTGTAGAGATAACGCCTCCACATTAAGTCAGGTTTCTTGGAATACTGAAAATCAATGTGGAAGATGGCTGGTTCACACTGGGTTGTGGGTTCGATCCCCAGTCCCAGTCGGGGTGTGTGTGGGAGACAACCGATCAATGTGTCCCTCTCACATATACATCCAACAGAAATGTGCACATATTCTCAAGAGACATACACTAGAATGTTCTTGATAGCCTCATTAATAACACCACCAAACTGGAAACAATCCAAATGTTATCAATAGTAGAAAAAGAAACTGGGATTCAGCTACAGGCTGGACTGCCCGACAGCAATGAACAACTGCTACTCACAACAATGCGGATGAATCATATGTGTAAACAGCAAACAGCAAAGAATAGATGCTACGAGCCCATTTCTATAAAGTTAAAAAAAATAAAAAGAACAGAGTACTTACGAGGTGCACGAGAGCAACCAGCATACAGGTCAGGACAGTGTTTACTTGGGGCAGTGACTATGGGGAGGTGGGAAGGGATTTCGAGGTCTTGGCTCGATTCTCCCCAGACCTGGAGCGGTTCACGCCAATGCTCATTTCATGATGACTCATTCAGCTGTACAGTTTCGTTTTTTCCACTTTCTGTATGTATTATACGTCATAGAAAATGACTTAAAAAGCAAATTGCAGAATACAGATAGTACATCACCATCTGTGTTTTAAATAGTTAAATACATACGTAAAGGACGATATTACTGAAAAGGAAACTGGAGACTAGAAATGACAGGGAGACTATTTTCCCCATTATTCGTTTTTTTCCTTTGACATTCGTACCATGCACATCAGTACCTGACCAACATTTCATTTCTATCAGTATTTCGAAGTTAACTTACCAAATCCCTGCCATGATAAAAGCAGCAGTTGTGATGGGTATCAGGGCTGGATACTTGACATCATAATCTTCAATCCCACGATACCACTCCAGATAGAGAATGCAGTAAAATGCAATGGACACGCTGACAAGCAACAAGGCGCCGCCAAAGAGAAACCAACTGTAAGACAAAAATGTCATCAGGATTGACAGCTCTTAGCACATCAGCAGAAATCTTACAAGTTTTCACTGGTTGCCTAAAAATCTGTTTCTACAAGAATATCAACTGGAAGAGGAACACAGAGGGACCCACAATCACTGGATTCCAGATTTCAGAAAGTCCAATCTACGGGGAGATGAGTGAGAAAGGACGAGCCCGAGACCCACGAGAGGATGAAAAAGTAAGCCTCTCAATACAGGCATGCACGTGTGCGCTCATAAACCACCCCCCCGGAACAGAGCCCTGGTTATGGCTATGCATTTTCCTCAAGAACACAGGAAAGAGAGCAGCTTTCCTTTTGTTTCTGAAGTTGTGTGTCAGGTTTCTTGAAATGCTGAAAATCAATGTGCAAGATGGTTAATTCACACTGGGTTGTGGGGTCGATCCCTGGTCCTGGTTGGGGGGGGGGTGTGGGAGGCAACCAATGAATGTATCTCTCTCACATCAATGCTTCTCTTTCTCTCTCCCACTCCCTCCATTCCCTCTAAAAAAAAAAATCAATGGAAAAAATGTCCTTGGGTGAGGATTAACAACAAAAATTTCAACTAACAAAATAAAACACAAAAAATAAGACAAGGGTGTTTAACTTATGAACCAGGAAAGTTTTCTTTTTTTTTTTATTACTCTTTCTTTTTCTTTATTGATTAAGGTATTACATATGTGTCCTTATTTCCCCATTGCCCCCCACCCCCATGCCCTCACCCCCCTAGTGTCTGTGTCCATTGGTTAGGCTTATATGCATGCATACAAGTCCTTTGGTTGATCTCTTCCCCTTACTCCCACCCTCCCCTACCTTCCCTCTGAGGTTTGATGGTCTGATCGATGCTTCTCTGTCTCTGGATCTGTTTTTGTTCATCAGTTTATGTTGTTCATTATAGTCCACAAATGAGTGCGATCATGTGATATTCAGGGAAGTTTTCTTACCTACTAGTGTGAAAGTTTTCTCTAATAGTTTTAAAGAAATCCACATAATAGGTCACAACAATGGATGCCAATATCCAGAATCCAGAATGGACATTAAGTCTTGGAAGAGGTTTTTGCTTTTTCTCAACAGCTGCAGAGGCTCCTGCAAATAAGGGAGATTTCAACTTATTAAATCACCATAAAGTGCACGGGGAAAAATCAATCTCTCTTAAGACAAACGAAAAAATTTCCTAGAGCTTTTTGCGAACCAGAAATCTCTCCCACCATAGCACGAATTTCTTCTGTAAAAAACACCAAAATAGGCTTATATTGCAGAAATAATTACTAGGAGCCCACTATAAAACATGTGCAAGAGTCAACTTCTCTCCTTTAAATGGATTCTGAAATCAAATCTACATATTCCATCTTTCAGAAAGAATGACCTCTTCTAGCAGTGTAGGAGTTTTAATATTATGCCTCATATTTCATCTAAGAAAGTCATTAGTCCTATTAAGGAAAATGCCGCAGGCACATGTTAGAGCACAAAACAGGTGCCATTTTCCAAAAATACTACTTATCACTATTTAATGATTTTAAGCGAACACAACCTTTTAAGGCCGCTCAAAAGTGGAACTGAGCCCTAGCCGGTTTGGCTCAGTGGATAGAGCGTAGGCCTGCGGACTCAAGGGTCCCAGGTTGGATTCCAGTCAAGGGCATGTACCTTGGTTGCGGGCACATCCCCAGTAGGAGGTATGCTGATCGATGTTTCTAACTCTATCCCTCTCCCTTCCTCTCTGTAAAAATCAATAAAATATATATTTTTTTAAAAAAAGTGGAACGGGCGCAGTACTGCCTAGTCAGGTGGGGACGAGTCCACATGTCTTCCACCCGGGACTCCATCTGACAGAACAGGCGGCTGGGGTTGGATCCGACGAGTTATTTCCAACAAGTTCCCCCCGAGGATGGACGCGCCCCGTCTCCGTTCACGGGAGAACCACCGGGGTGCACACCCGAGGTCCTCACCCCTTAGGATTCCTGAGCAGCTTGTTCCCAACACAAAGACCCTCAAAACTGAGACGCCAGCACGCACGCCTGGGCACGATGTCTTCTGATTTCTCTTTAAAACCTAACACATGCAAGCGGTTTGCGTAACGCGGGCCAAAAGCCCGAATGTGGAAGCCATGTCTCCCGGGTCCCTGCCCAGAAGCAGCTCAGTGTCACCTCCTGCGGCTTCTCTCCTCCCGCGTCGCCAGGAAACGCGCCCGCACCGCCTCCCGCTCGCTGGTGCCGCAGGGGGAGCTCGTACCCCACCCGCTGCCCTGCGCCTCCCCGCGAGCACCACCCGCGCGGCCCGCAGTCGGCCTGGGGTCTGACCGGCTCCCCGCGGCGGACCACCGGGTGCTGTGGCCAGCGACGCCGAGATGAGCCAAACCCCCGCACCCACCCCTCGCGGGCCTGCGGGGTACGCCTGGCTGATCCCTAAAAACAGAGCCGGGGGGCGTTTTGAATGGGGGCCACCAAGCCCGGGGCAGCCCAGCCTTCGGGGACTCCTGGAGCGCAGCCTGGGGTGCAGACGCGCAGGGCTGCGGGGTGTTAAGGGTCCTTAGGACACTAACCACCCGACGTGCAAACGACAGGTGAACCCTGAGACCAGAAGCCGGGCCCTCCCGACGGGGCGGGCTGCGGGAGGCCGCAGGGCCGGCGATGTCGGGGCGCCTGGCCCGGGGCCTCGGCGCGGCTCGGAGCGCCCGGGGGAGCGCCTACCCGGCCCGGCGCAGCCTCTGCCGTCCAGCGAGGCCTCGGCGTCGGGCGAGAACAGGTACCGCCGCCGGAGCTGCTCCCGGGCCCGCGCCGCGTCCATCTTGGCGCCTCCAGGAAGCGCGGCGGAAGTGACGTCGCCCCGTGGGAACTTCCGGAATCGATTTCCGGGCGGAGGGGCCGGCTTCTGGAAGTCGGTGCGTCCAGTTTTGTCTTTGGGGTTTAATAGGGGAGGAACTAGGGCGGGACTGGTTTCGTGATCTTCGCGCTCAAACCCGCCAAATGATTTAATTTCAAAATGCGGGTCCTCTCAAGACCGGAAGTACCCATTTTCCCCGAGGGATGGAGCTGGTGGTGCCGAGTCAGCCGGTCGGGGATGCGCGGCCCGCGGCGCCGCTCCCCCCTCTGTGCCTCTGCCTGCGGGGCCGACCCTGGCTCCCAGGTGCCCCGTGCGTGCGGGAGAGGTGCCCCGTGCGTGCGGGGAGAGGTGCCCCCGTGCGTGCGTGCGGGGAGAGGTGCCCCGTGCGTGCGGGAGAGGTGCCCCGTGCGTGCGGGAGAGGTGCCCCGTGCGTGCGGGAGAGGTGCCCCGTGCGTGCGGGGAGAGGTGCCCCGTGCGTGCGGGGAGAGGTGCCCCGTGCGTGCGGGGAGAGGTGCCCCGTGCGTGCGGGGAGAGGTGCCCCGTGCGTGCGTGCGGGGAGAGGTGCCCCCGTGCGTGCGTGCGTGCGGGGAGAGGTGCCCCCGTGCGTGCGTGCGTGCGGGGAGAGGTGCCCCGTGCGTGCGGGGAGAGGTGCCCCGTGCGTGCGGGAGAGGTGCCCCCGTGCGTGCGGTGAGAGGTGCCCCCGTGCGTGCGGGGAGAGGAGCCCCCGTGCGTGCGGGAGAGGTGCCCCGTGCGTGCGGGAGAGGTGCCCCCGTGCGTGCGGGGAGAGGTGCCCCCGTGCGTGCGGGAGAGGAGCCCCGTGCGTGCGGAAGAGGTGCCCCCGTGCGTGCGGGAGAGGTGCCCCGTGCGTGCGGGAGAGGTGCCCCGTGCGTGCGGGAGAGGAGCCCCCGTGCGTGCGGGAGAGGTGCCCCGTGCGGGCGGGGAGAGGTGCCCCGTGCGTGCGGGAGAGGTGCCCCGTGCGTGCGGGAGAGGTGCCCCCGTGCGTGCGGGGAGAGGTGCCCCGTGCGTGCGGGGAGAGGTGCCCCGTGCGTGCGGGGAGAGGTGCCCCGTGCGTGCGGGGAGAGGTGCCCCGTGCGTGCGGGGAGAGGTGCCCCCGTGCGTGCGGGGAGAGGTGCCCCGTGCGTGCGGGGAGAGGTGCCCCGTGCGTGCGGGGAGAGGTGCCCCGTGCGTGCGGGGAGAGGTGCCCCGTGCGTGCGGGAGAGGTGCCCCGTGCGGAGAAGTGCCGCGTGCAGGCCGCGGATCAGAGCCCCAGCTCCGTTCTCTCCTCCGCGTGGCGCCCAGCGAGACGGCAGCCTCGGAGGAGGAGAGGGCCGCAGGGCCAGGCCTGGCCCCGACCATGTGGGTGCACTTGGGCAAGAGAGCAACCTCTCTGGACCTCTTTCCTCTCCTGCACCAGGGCGATTACACCCGCCGGTGGCTGACACCGAAGCACCTATATGTTGTTCTTATCAACCCCCTTTGTCCAACTTCTGAGAAATGCCACCAGCTGGGAAGGCGGGAACTAAATTTATTATCCTTTCCCGGAAACGGCCGTCTCCCATCAGTCATGCTCATAAGCCGGAAAAGACTGTCGTGACTTCACACGTTTTTCTATATTAAGAATCCTCTGCTACCCCCTTCCGACCCTGCCATGTGTAGAATGCGCTTAACCATTCGGACACTCACTGAGCACCTGCTAGCATTTGCTAGGAACTGGTAGGCACCATGCCAGGCGAGGGGGGTGGGGGAGAGAGGGAAGATGAGTAAGACATGATGTGCTTGAGGAGCTCCCGGGCCAGAGGTGACCACAGCTGTCCTGCAGTGCCTGCAGTGTGTGTAAATGTATGGAAGCGTTTCATGACGGCAGCAGACAGTTTCTGAGCAGCTGCAGCTGCTAAAACCCTAACTTACCTAGGGCAGAGGTAGGTTACAGTCAAGAGGAGACAACCGCACTACAGGGCCATCATAGAAGCACTGTGTAGGGCCATGGGAGGACAGAATAAAGGGTAGTGTGTTCCGCTGGGAGGTGTGGGGAGCAGGAAAATTAACAAAGAATTTATATGCATATTTGCATAACCCATGGACATAGACAAGAGTGCTGTTGGCCTGGGGTCACTGGCGGGGGGCGGGGGGGAGGAGGAGGGGAGAGGGACATCTGTAATACTTTCAACAATAAAGATAATTTTTTTTAAAAAAAGATACAAGAAAAACAACACAAAATAAACTAAAAAATCCCACAACTAAGGCTACAGATATCTGGGCTTGTTATCTTTAATTCAAAACTATAATTATATTTCATTTCTACACTAATTGTATTTAAAATTATGTTATTTGAGATCATTAAATAGAGGGTGCTAAAATAAACTAAAACAAGGTTTAAAAAAAAAGTGACTTGAGGTGTGTCAGATACAGGGGATGGGTAGCCTGGAGAGTCACCCAGGAAGTAAAATTTAAGTCAGTTGGCACTCTTCCATACCTTCTATATGCCGTGGGTATTTGCAAAAGAAATGTAATAAGAATGTCAAGTTCCTACTGGTTTAATTCTATCATTTCTTCAGCCTTTCTAGCAAACCCATTGGAGCAAAGGATTGAACAGCTGGGTGGATCATATGGCCTTTCTACACAATAACTCCTCATTCTTGTTTTGTTTTTCCGTCTCAGATTCCTAAAGAACCAGGGTTCATCTCTTCAAAGCCAATGGGGTCTTTGCCCCCCTTTGTACAGGGCTAGTGCCTTGTTAACAGGAAGCGAATTCCCCTTGTCAAATAGTCTTCTGTGGCTTGTCGCCCCGCAGAAAGGTCAGTGCTGGGCCTCCCTGGTAACTGAATATTCCCCGAGCATGGCACCAGCCCCCGGGGCTCCATATGTAGTGTGTTCAGGTCAGATCTGGTTTCCCCTTTGGTGGTTTCAGGGCCTTTGTGTTTGGACCTGAAATCCTTCCAGCTTTGTCCCCCGATATTTTGAACGGCACTACTTGCACACCATATTGGTGCTCCTTCAAAGCCGGCTGGAAGAAATCCAGTATCTAATGAGCACATCTTCATTGTTGGGGCCCCTGGAATGAGTTCTTAAATGTGTGCTGTGCACCTTAGTGACAGGTGTATGATATCAGCGTGCTACCAGCCAAGCCATTCTCATTTTCCATGTGCATTACTTGCGGGGGGGAGATGAATTTGACTCTGACCTTTGCTGGCCTCCCCTTAGCAACGTGTATAGCGGTTGCTTAGCGTAGTGCCTGGCTTGTCGTATGCCTTCGAGCGGTGGTAGCTACTGGGCTTGCCAGGCCTTGCTGTCAGGCTCCTGCTCACCTCTTAGTTATTCCTTCTCCTCAGGCTCCAGCGACTCTTTGTTGCAAGTTCCCTTTTGCCTATTCTCTCGCTAGTTGATGGGGCAACAACCATGTCTTAGTATCTCTCCAGGGCCTTGCATGTAGTAGGAGCCCCCCATTACCTGGTTTTCACTTTGGCCCTTGATCACAATTGACTGGCTTTCACTGTGGCCATACTTCTGTCTGCTCAGCATCCTTCTTCTGAGAAACCACTTCCCTCCTTCCTGCGGGAGTCCTGCAGAGTTCTCAGGAGGCTGGGAGAGGGCACAGGACCTGAGCCAGATCTGTCAGCCCCAGGACTTAGGTGGGGGTTGGGATGACCTTCTCTGTTGCTATGGTGAGCTATGAGGTTAGTGTGGGCTTGGGGCTGTCACCATGGAGACACATGGAGCCCACCTAGGAAGGAAGCTTTGAGATGCAAGCCAAGCCAAGAGGTCTTGGTAGCGTCGTCTCAACTCCTGAGTCCAGCCACCTAGTTAAGGCCGAGGTCCCCCAGGTAAGGACTTGCGCCCTGGAGCCACTGCCTGGCTGGCTGTCATTGCTGGTCTGTACCGCTGGCCCTTTCAACCTTGGGAAAGCCACTTGCTCTCCTTTTTGCCTTAGTTTCCTCACTTGCAAAATGGGGCTAAGAACAGTACCTACCTCCTAGGGTTGGAAGGTTAACAGTATTAAGACATGCAAAGTACTTAGAACAGTGCCTAGCCGGCAGGACGCTCTCAGTCTTCACTGTTGTTAGTATCCATTGTTAAGACTCCACAGCTATCTCAGCAAAAAAAAAAAAAAAAAAAAAAAGGTTTTTTTCTCTCTCAAATTAACGCTAATTAGAGTTGTTTCCTGCACTTGCAGCTCTGAGGCCAGACCAGTGCGGCAGCCCTCCTCTCTCATTGCGCTCGGTAGCTGCCCCAGCAGCGCCTCCTGGACTTCGAGCACCTCCAGAAATGAGTTCGTACATGCAACGCCCTTAGAAAAGCACCCAGCATAGGGAACAAGTGTGTAAATGGTAATATAGCTCACCGGGGACAGTGGCCTTCATTCTAAAACTCCCTTTAGTTATATAAATAACACAATGAGATATGTGTCCCTTTTTACAGCCCCACTTCACTGACAAAAGCTGTAGAATTGGAATTCTAGGTACAAAGATCTGAACATTGGAAAGGCTTTTGACTGCTCTCTTCACACCAACTCCGGAAAGGGTACCCTGTTGTACTTCCCATTCGCGCCAGCAGGGGGCAGGAGACACCAGAACATGTGCAACTGCCGGCTTTACCATTCTGTAAATTTTCCCCAATTCGTCATTGGGGTTGAGGAAGAATCTGCTGTTTTAACTTTCTTTTCTTTACGAACGTGTTTTTCACAGAATCAATCGCAGCACTTCTTCCCCTTCCTGCGAGCGGGAGCGGGGCCTCCGAACCCCGACCAGCACCAGAAAGGCATCCCCACTGACGAGTTGACGTCAGAGAAAATCTGTTCGCTGTCCCGAGCTTGAGAGCTCAGGGCACGCCAGGCAACAGGACAGAAGTGCAAGCAGGATTGCTTTTATGCCACAAAAAATCTGTGTGTCCTTCCATTGCTCATCTCAATGTACTAAAAATCACAAAAGTAAATATGCAAACATGCACATTTTGAACAGAGCCCATAGGAAAAGCCCCTACCAACCTCGGGCACATCGAGGCATCGCAAGGTGGTATTGGCGGGTGAATCCCTGCACACAGAGGTCACCTGGACTCTCAGCTTCCCTTGGACATCACCCCCGATACCACCCACACAACCCTTGAGGAAACCATGGGCCCTCAAGTTAAACACGACAAAGCAGGAGAGAGAAAACATCTGCCCTTAAGCTCGGCAATGGAGAGCAGAGTGCCCGGCTGTGAGGGGAGGAGCGGCCACGCCGCCAATCATGGCGTCAGGGCTCTGAAGAAGCCAGAAGGCCTGATATTAGGGACCTCCATGAGCTGGCACAGAGAGCCCTCCAGACACAGTGCCCGTGCCATGACCGTGTTTGGAACCACTGGCTCTCCTTACAGGCCCACGGTTCTCAAACATGTTCAAATGGTAGAGCATCGGGCACTCCTGTGGAACGTCATGGAATATGGCTCCATTAAGTGAAAAAGCAACCACGTGCTATAAAAGTTGATGCCAAGTCCCACAGCATCTAAATTAGAGTTGTACAGTAACAAGTGCCAAGAGGTGTAACTTTTATGCAGAAACCCCTTAATGCTGAGACAATTCTATTAACTTCCCCTGAAACCTGGAGGAGAGAGTGCCGTTCAGTTAGCTATGAAACGTCTCCGCTCGGGATGCCCTTGGCTGGAGCAGGGCCGTCCTGTCAGGTTTCCATTAGTGCCTGCTGCACACTTGTCGGCAGATCCCAAGAGCAGTGCTGTGGGGAAGCACCCGGAGAGCCCAGGCTCTACCCGCCTTTGATCTGCAATGGAGAAATCCAATCTACACACTACCACCGGCCTCCGGGGAGTCGGCCTGGGGTCGCCAGGTGGGCAGAGCGGCAAAAGTAGGATTTCGGCAGCTCACGGTACCCGCTCTGTGGCCAAAGGCCTCGCCTTCCAAGCAGTGTCTGACCTCTCAACTCTGACATATGTATTTACTCGGCAATGACAGCTTGCACTCCCACAGGGACAGCTGGACCACTTCTATCAAAGGGAATAAGTGAAAGCTCGCCTGGATCCCGTAGCAAAAAGTAGCCGCAGGAGCCTCTGCACTCAAACAAAGCTGCTCGTTCACCAGCAGCCGCTCTCCCGGGAGCCTTTGCTGCTTTGTAACCAGCACAGGATGCTCCAGGCCCAAATGACAGGAGCTCACAAATCCAGCGATAAGGGGGCTGAGCAAGGCCTGCGCTCCTTTCACTGATAAGGACATGGTAGAGTAAGAAGACGCCGGGGAGTTGCTATTCTGATTTATTTTTAGCATCACTTGAGACTGAAATCTGCTGAGAAAACCTGGAGGTACCATTTTCCAGTTGTGTTATCTAGTGCAAAGCCCCGGTGATTAAGTTTGCTTGACAGTTTCAAAAAAACAGAACTTCCTTGAGAGATACAGAGATGGAAATTCGAGGAATATTAACTTTCAGTGCATTTGGGGGCAACATAAACCCATCCACCCTCCTACACAGAGGGCAGCCGTGGAAACGGGTAAAAGCACTGGGAAACTGTGTGGCTGTGGCTGTCAAAGCCGGACACCCCCGATGACTGAGCAGTTCCAGGCATAGGCATGCACTCAGCAGAAATGAGAGCTATGTGGACCAGGAGACAGAAGATGTCCATTTCATCAGAAACCCAGCCACCCTGGAGACAGCCCAGCATCTCATCAGCAGTAGAGGGAGACGTGCTGTACAGGACAAAGACAGCATCAATGCAACGTGGTGAATCTCGGGAATGCTGAGAGAAGGAAGCCAGACACAAAGGGCACAGGCTCTATGACACCAACCTATATAATAAAAAGGTAATATGCAAATTAACCCTCACACCCTCACAAAGATGGCTGCCTATGACCAGGCCGGCAGGGGGGTTAGTGAGGGACGACCAAACGACTGAACAAGCAGGCTGTGTGGGGTGACCAGGCGGCGGGGGGTGGGGGGGAGACAGTTGGGGGCAACCAGGCCGGCAGGGGGGACAGTTGGGAGCAACCAGGCCCTCGGAGGGGGGCAGTTGGGGAGACCAGGCTGGCAGGGGGGGCAGTTGGGGGTGACCAGGCCGGCATGGGGGGCAGTAAGAGGCAACCAGGCCGGCGGGGGGGGGGGGAGTGGAGTTAGGGGCAACCAGGCCAGCAGGGGGGTGCAGTTGGGAGTGACCAGGCCAGCAGGGGGGGCAGTTGGGGGCAATTAGGCTGGTGGGGGGGGTCAGTGAGGGGTGACTAGGCCTGCAGGGGGGCAGTTGGGGCAACCAGGCCAGCAGGGGAGCAGTTGGGGCAACCAGGACAGCAGGGGGGGCAGTTGGAGGTGACCATGCCAGTGGGGGTGGGGGGCAGTTGGGGGCAACCTGGCTGGTGGGGGGGCAGTGAGGGGCGATAAGGCAGGCAGGCAGATGAGCGATTAGGAGCCAGGAGTCCAGCATTGTGAGAGGGATGTCCGACTACCGGTTTAGGCCCGATCCTGGCAGTCAGACATCCCCCGAGGAGGTCCTGGATTAGAGAGGGTGCAGGCTGGGCTGAATTTCATGCATCGGGCCTCTAGTTCACATGTAGTTCATGCTGACATGGTGAGGATATGGTTGCTGTTGGGCTACAGATAGCCCACGTCTTAGATTTGGCTCCGTGTGTGCCTTCCTGAGTTGTCCATTTAGGTTTTTACCCATTTCTGTATGATACTTCAGTAGAAAGTTTACATTCGGAAAATGGACTATATGACTGGACCAGTGTCCTGAGAAATGGCTACACATGAAATGGGAGGATTGCCTCAGAACGGAAGTGGATTTCTGCATTAAGCTGCCACTCTGCCCGGTCCCTGCAGCTTCTCTTGCTGCAGCCCAGGCACTTGGAGAGCCACGTGCTGGAAAAGCGAGGTGTCCGGGGGAAGGGCCTCCCTGCAGCCAGCGCCGCCGTCCATGGTAAACCGCAGTCTGTGCGCACCTCATGCACGTGAGGAGGGGACATTTCGACACCGCCTACGTACAGCTGCTTGTGCACATCACTTTAATTTCACTCTATGACCTCAGGAAGGCAGCCTAACAGACAAAAACCCTGAGGCTCAGGGAGGCTACGTCACCTGCCCGAGAGAGGCTGCTGGCTAAGACCCAAAGCCAGACTCACGGTCACGTCTCACCGTAGTACCGGGAGCCCTGCCCTGAGCCCGTTACCACCCACTGCCTCCCCCGTGGGTGTGGGGGGGTCTGCGGGGGAAAGTGGGTGGGTGGAGTGGCAGGAAGAGAAAGACGCCCCAGTACAGCAAGTAGGTAAGACCTTTCAAGAATCAATCCAGGGGCCTTAACCTAATGCCCTCTGTCCCTGCCCTGGGCGAAGGCCTCCCTCCCTTTCTGGGCAAACACTACAACTATACACACCCCTCCATGATGCATCACTGCACTTGCCTGGGTGGTCTGTCCCCTCCCTAAAGACAACGCAGACCCACCCAGGGGCACTCTGGGATTATCTCCTTCATCCTTGTGATGGAGAAGGGTTTCAAGGACAAGAGGGTAACACCGAAGAACTGCAGGCACCGAGGCTACTGGAGGATTCAGGACAATATAGTTTATTTTCTCATAAAAGATCTACCAAAAATATATATTTTTCTTATAAGAAAACAAAATTTGAGTTGTTATTATTTATTACATGTTTTACAAACAGCAGTGAAAGGAAGAAATCAACAGAATGGACTCAATTTATTAAATATAAAAATATTCACTTCAAAAGTTTGACCTTGTCCTTGAGTAGCTTGAAGGCGGGGTTCTTGCTGACTTTCCTGTTGAAGATGGCCAGGAGCTCCTCTTCAGACCTGTGGTGTTCGCTCGTCATCGCGTAATACTGAGCTAAAACCTTCGCAAAGGAGAGCAACCGTCAAATAAAGGTCACTGTCCTGAACATTTACCTAAAAGAGACCCGGGTGCTGGCCACACAGGGTTGTGCTTGCGAAATCGGTGCAGCAGCACATGTGAATGTGAGCACCTGACTGCATGTGGGTCAGATGTCGATAACAAACTAAAACCAGAGAAGAAAGCATTCCTCTGGAATAAAGGATCGCAAACTAGAATAATCATTTCAAAATCACGCCCGCACTGCGCCGGCTGAGGAGGGGTGGGAGTCAGCCCCTTCCCTCCCCACAAGGCCGGACGGGTTACCAGGGCGTCGTAAATGAGACACACACACACTCACAGCACTTGAGGTGTTTTAAAATAAAGAACCGATTCTCCCCAGCTGGTGTACCTAGGTTCGTGTGCGTACCTTTTTCCTTAGCTTTTTGACTGCTATTTCATTGTCTGGGGCCTGCTTCAGGACTGCTTTAATAGTCCCCTTCCAATTGAATTTACCTACAATACAAAGAATAACATGCAAAGCACTGTTTTGTTGTACTACCAGAAGGGAAAGGAAATGATTTCTGCAACATCTACTTGCTGCCGGGAAATGAATGAATCCTGAGTGGGCAGGGGACCATAGCACTGTGGAGCAGGCCCTCGGCCTGTCCAATCACAGTAGCCTGAAAGCACCGCTACCCTTCACCGTTCTTGTTCTCAGAGCGAGCAGGTTAACCAGGCAACATAAACACCATCACCACTACAAATTCCTGTAAAAAGATAGAGTTGCTTTGAAGGACCTCAGCAAGATTCACTAAGCATCCACGGAGATCGTGGGGCTGAGCAGTGAGCAACACAGAGGTGAGCGAGGAGCTTAACCTTGAACGAGAGGAGACAGCCACAATATCACTACACGTGGGCGACAAGATCCAAAGCCTTCATGTGAATCTAAAATTACCTCAAAGTAAACCCTTAAAAAAACTAAAGTTGGGGGGTGGGTTCCAAGCTAAGAGATCTAACCCAACTTGGGCAGTCACTGAACCTCCAACAATAAAGCCTCGCTTCCCATGAGTCCTTGGATCTCCTAACTGGCAGGACTCCGGGGGCTGCTTCGGGCCTGAGGAACGGGAGCAGCCGTGTGGAGGAGGCAGCCTGAAGAGGCAAGGCCAGGGACTGGATTCTGACAAGGACACATGCCAGCCGAGGGAGCGGGGTGGCATGGAGTCCAAGCAAGGAGGCACCAGGGACAGACCCAGAGATAAGAGGGGAACAGCCAGGTCTGGCTGGAGGACAGGAAGGGGAGCGGGTCTGGGAAAGCACGGGGGTTTAAGTTCCAAAGATAATGCGTATTTCCAATCCAGACTGCTTTCCCCTTAATCCTTCAAGCCAGACAGACACACTGTAGGAGTGACTCACAGCCCTCCTGGGTTCCTTTGGAGTCACTCCCGCCCTAGAGAACTTTGCTCACCTCCTCCTCCCACCCCAGAGGGCAGAGCTTTCCAAATGACACAAGTGATACCTTTTGCAGGAGCTTCATGGTTTTCTGGTTCTCTGCCTTCAGCCAGTCCTGGGAACTTAATCTTTTTCTTCTTAGAATATGCTTCAACTAAATAGATTTAAAAAAAAATAGAGATTTTGCAGTTCTGACATCTTCTACACTTAATGCATCGTCCATGGCCAGCCCCTTCCATCACCTTGCTCATCCCCCAAGCAACCCAGCCTGCGGGGTTTCTCCTCCTGGACAGTGGGGGACAGTGGTGGAAACCGGGAGTTGAGAGGTGAGGCCACTTGCCTGGACTCAGCCCAGGTTGCCCTGACCCCAAAGCTTATGCTCTTTGCATTACTTGGTTCCCAATGCACGATCTAACAGATTTTATGTACCCCAAATTCAGAGCATGGCCATTTAAACAAGCCCTGCAGCATTCGCCACACACCTTCGGAAAGCTTCCGCTTCCTTTTCCCCATGCTTGTCTCTTCCTTGTCCACGTCTCCATTCACTCCACACTTGCCCGTGCTCCTCGGCCCCTGGCGCTTGTTCCCTGTGGGGCCCGTGGCCTCGGGGGCACCCTCCCCTCCCGCCTCCTGCTCGGCCTCAGGCCTCATTTTGCGCTTTTTAGACTTCTGACTCTTGGTTTTCTCCTGGTGGTTTTCTAATTTTAGTTCTTTCTTTTCTTTTTTCCTTTTCTTCTGCCGCTCTTCCTTCCTCTCTCTCTTGTTCTTCTTTGCCTCTGCTTGTCCTTGCGTGGTGTCATTGGCTTTGGAAGGTGCCACCGTGGTGGTGATTTCTGCAGGTGGCTTTGCCACTTGGTTGAGTGGCTTTTGCTCTTGCCCTTTACTGGCTGGTTCCTTTTTATGAAGCAAAAACCAAGAAACACGTAAGTATTCATTCCACACACCCGTTCACAACCTACATGTATCTACTGAACACTGTTCCAAGGAAAATGTCTTTCTTACTTACCATTTTAGAACTGTGACCCCCCCACAGTTAAAATATAGTAAATACACAAAATGAGAAGAACTCCCCCAGCCCACACCCCTCTCTGCATTTTTAAAACATTTTATTTATATATTTTTTAAAATATTTTTATTGATTTCAGAGGAAGGGAGAGTGAGAGATAGAAACATCAATGGTGAGAGAGAATCATTCATCGGCTACCTCCTGCGCGCCCCCTACTAGAGGCCAAGTCTGCACCCTGGGCACATGCCCTTGACCGGAATCAAACCCAGGTTCCTTCGGTATACAGCCAATGCTCCATCCACTGAGCCAAACCAGCTGGGGCCCCCTCTCTGCATTTAACAGGCATTTTGTCCCACTTGAAAAGGAAAGAATTCTTAAATCACTTCCGCCAGACCTTTATTTATGGCTCACAATTCACCTTTCTTTCCAATGAAGGTGAGCGCTCAACGCGGGGCAGAAACTAGGTTTAGGTACCTGCAGGCCTGGGTTCAAGTTCCAGCTGTCAATTACCAGGTGACTCAGGGCAAGTTATTTACCTGCTCTAGACCCGTCTCCTCGTCTGTACAATGAAAGGCAGGAAGCCCTTCCTCACACTGTTCATGTACAAATAAAATAAATGCCACGCGCTCAGTGCAGGGCACGCTCAGCGCACACGAGAAGGGCCTTGTAAACGACCAGCGCTACACTGAGGCCTAACTGAACCGTCATTCAGACCAGGCGGGTCCCAAGAGGAAGTCAGCGACGCCTGGGCAGTAAAGGTGGCGGCTGAGGAGTCACGGAAAACTAACTACATGCGCTGGGGTGGGGAGAACCTCGCACTCACTGCATCCCTTATTCAAATCAGCACATGGATCATATTTTAATTTTTTAAAAATCTTTTTATTGATTTCAGAGAGGAAGGGAGAGGGAGAGATAGAAACATCAATGATGAGAGAGAATCATTGATCAGCTGCCTCCTGCACGCCCCACACTGGAGATCAAGCCTACAACATGGGCATGTGCCCTGACTGGGAATCAAACCCGGGACCCTTCAGTCCGCAGGCTGACGTTATAGCCACTGAGCCCAACTGGCTAGGGCTGGATCCTATTTTTTTTTTTTTTTAATATATTTTATTGATTTTTTACAGAGAGGAAGGGAGAGAGATAGAGAGTTAGAAACATCGATGAGAGAGAAACATTGATCAGCTGCCTCCTGCACATCTCCTACTGGGGATGTGCCCGCAACCCAGGTACATGCCCTTGACCGGAATCGAACCTGGGACCTTTCAGTCCGCAGGCCGATGCTCTATCCACTGAGCCAAGCCGGTTTCGGCCCTATTTTTAAAATAACTTCAGCACAGCTAGTCCCACTGTCTGCTGTACTCCGTGACTCGAAATGTGCAGAAATCTCTACGCCAGCCCTGCCCACGAGCTGGCGCAGAGCTACCTACTGAACGGCCGCGGCCCTAAGGTGCCTGTCAGGCAGGGAGAGGGCCAGTGGCAGCAGCTCCGGGAAATCCCGAGACTTGAGACTTATGAGTCCGCAGACCGGGCCCAAGTTCCATCTGTGAGTTACCAGCCAGTCACCTCCAGTCTTCACCCTCCAGAGTCTAGGTCACAAGAACGGAGCTACTGTCCTCCAAGACAGATCAAATAAACGACTGGCTTTAACTCAAGTACAATACAGTCATGCCTCCCTCTGACACCCATGCTCACCCTCTGGCAGAGGAGTGGTAACTAAATCGGGGTTTTCTCGGTAGCAGTTCAGAGAAAGAAAGTCATCCAGGCACACGGCGTGGGGGGCAAGGAGCAGAGAATGAGTTCAGGTACAGACTCAGGAGGAAGGGGGAAAAGAAGCTTCCCTCCTGCCCTGTAATTGTGTTCATACTGCGTATCGGTTATTATCTTCATCACCAAGGGCCCCAGAGCTCAGCCTGCCATCGCCCAGTTCAGATCAAGTCTCTAGTGCAGTGGTTCTCAACCTCCCTAATGCCGCGACCCCAACCATAAAATTATTTTTGTTGCTACTTCATAACTGTAATTTTGCTACTGTTATGAATCATAATGTAAATATCTGATATGCAGGATGTATTTTCATTGTTACAAATTGAACATAATTAAAGCATAATGATGAATCACAAAAACAATACGTAATTATATATGTGTTTTCCAATGGTCTTAGGTGACCCCTGTGAAAGGGTCGTTCGACCCCCAAAGGGGTCGCGACCCACAGGTTGAGAACCGCTGCTCTAGCAGGTGCTTTGCTCCCACACCTTAAACCACAGAGAGAAGGAGGGGGAAGGCAGGAGGCACACAGCCACCAGCCTGCAGCCACACAACAGTGACTGATCAACCCATTCCCCATCTTCTCCTTTATTCCAGGCTCTCCTCCAGTGTGGTCTCCTCAGTACCACCTCACTGGCTCTTACCTGACAGAGCACCCTGCTTTGCTCTCTGCCCCTCTTCCTGCCTTCTATTTCTTCCTAGTGCTTATCACAATCTGGTGTTATAGCAAAAACCCACCCATAGTTGTTGTGGGGGAGACAGATAGTTGTCTGTCTCCCCCACAAGAACACAGCTGCATGAGGGCAGGACTGATTACAGCTGTATCCAGTGACCGGTGTGCGTTGTGCTGGGTATAAAAAGTATCATGTAGAAGAGAAAGCCGCCAACCTAATGCCCAGCACAGAGTAAAGGGAGGGATAAAATTGCAGGCATGAATGAACAGGGCCTCAGGACTACTTGCTTTCACCAAACACTGGGATGTGCCGTGAAGTTCACAAAACACAGGCAAACCAATAATAAGCTTTTTACCAGGATACCACGAGCTGTTTACTGACTATTAATTCCTAGTATGTTCACAGCTTCAAAAGAACTTTAAAAAAAACTACAGTTGATCTAAGTCATTTCAAATCTTTGATTCTTAGTAAAAATAATGGCAATAACCTTTAAAAAGTAGGTGCCACATACAGGCCAATTCAGTGACTGGTCATAAGGTTTCAAAGGCCCAATTTGTGCGTTCTGAGACAAACGCTAGATATACTGCCAAGATAAAGCTTCATTTTTATCTGTTTGCTGCCTAAACTATTCTCTCCATAGCAAGCAAATCAACTCCTTACAATGTGACCAAAAGAAAAGACCAGCCAGCACCACTGTTGTTTTTTTAAACTACTACTGAGCGCCGAAACCGGTTTGGCTCAGTGGATAGAGCGTCACCTGCGGACTGAAGGGTCCCAGGTTCAATTCCGGTCAAGGGCATGAACCCGGGTTGCGGGCACATCCCCAGTGGGAGATGTGCAGGAGGCAGCTGATCGATGTTTCTCTCTCATCGATGTTTCTAACTATCTCTCTCCCTTCCTCTCTGTAAAAAAATCAATAAAAAATATATTAAAAAAACAAACAAAAAACCCCAAGAAACCTATTTGTTTAAAAAAAACAAATTACTACTGAGTTCACTCCGGCAGCACATATACTAAGCTTGGAATGATACAGAGATTAGCATGGCCCCTGCACAAGGAGGACACGCAAATTCGTGAAGCGTTCCATACTTAACAAAGCTATTAAAGATATAACTCTGAATGGGATATAAGCTCCAAAAAGGAAGTGCAACAGAATTAAGGTGATAAAATCAAATTAACAATGTAACCAACACTGTGGCTATACAATATCAAACCCAAACCCTCTGCACCTATATCCACATCTGAGGACTCACATATCCAACCTTTTTTGACAGGCAGTTGGCTGGCTTCAACCCACAGAATTCTTCCTCCACTGGAAGGGAAGAGACGGTGCTTAACGAGTGCCCGCTGAAAGGTGGGCATAGGTGGGTGCTTCTGTAGTCTCATCTACTTTAAAACCACAGCAGGTAAGGGCCCTGGTGACCCCTCTCCCCTTACCTAGAAGGCCACCTAGGCACTCCATCCTCACCTGCTTATCTTCCTGCCCAGCACTATCGCCACCTGAGCTGGTTCAGTTTTGTTCATGGCCTGGCACAGATCAGGCACTCATAAGTACTGAATGAATGAATGAATGAATGAATGAATATGATCCACTTTTTAAAGAAAAGGAAACTGAGGCTCACAAGACAAGTAACGTGCCCAAGATCACACATATGGCAGAGAGCAGCAGGGATTCAATCCAGGTCTGCCGGACACCCAGAGCTCCTGTTCTTCCCGATACGTCCGCCGCCTGCTTTCTAAGTAAACGGTTCCAGGTTAGCTGCTACCAATGTCAAACATGGGGATGAAATACCTTTCTGTGCACAATAAGGAACTCTTCTCTGCAAGGCATTCAGTTATTCCTTCCCATAAAAGAAGGCCCAAGAGGCTCTCTGAAAAAGAAGGCTGTCTTGACCTCCAAAAATAAGACATTCCCACCGCATTATTAGTAAGCATGTCTGCCACGCAACAAATCTAAAACTAGGTCTGACTTACATTGCTGGAAGCTTCAGAAAAGATATTCCACACCTGCTCCAGAATCAATTCATTATGAACTTTTAAACTGTTCTTCATCCAGTTCTATAAGGAAAAAAAGGGGGGGGAAATCCCATTGGACAGGTAAACACAGCTGTCCCTGATGGGCCCATATCCCCAGTCAGGGAAGCCATCTCAAATACATACCTGAAATTTTGCCTTTTTCCTGGGAATGTTGTCAAAACCACTAATTTGCTCTAAAAGTTCTCTCACTTTGGGGCTGACATTGGGCCTTTTTATTAATTCATTAACTTTCTACAAAAAAGAAAGACAAAACAACAACAAAATAACTGACATACATTTCATGTAGCCAGGGCTACAGAATCCACATGTCAAGTCCCAATTTTGTATTAATGTCTATCCTTATAAATTCAATATAGCATTGGAAGTCCTGGCCAGAGCAAGTAGGTGAGAAGATGAAAGAAAGGCATCCTAGTTGGAAAGCAGTAAAATTATCTCTGTTCTCAGCCAACATGGTCTTACATGTGGAACACCCTACAGATTCTCCAAAAAGCACCTTTAGAACCAATGAACAAATTCAGCAGAACTGTACTCAAATATCAAGCTGCATTTCTACAAACGGACAATCTGAAAAGGAAACTAAGAACTTAAACAAGGAGCGTACGTAACACTTACTGAGTTAAAACTACGACACACTGCTGAAAGAAAGAAGACTCCGACAAATGGAGCGGTTCACGGGCTGCAAGCCTTACTGAGATGCCAACACGACCCTCAGTCTGGCTAAGGCATGCTGTTCCTGGCTCTTGTCGGGATGGGTGAGGCATTTATTCTTAGTTTCTTAGGCTTCCCAAGAAAAGTGGAAGGCGTCAGCTGAGACTACTAGACGACTCGGAACGTACCTGCACCCACGCCTGCTGTTTGATCTCGCCTTTGTGGGCTTTCCCTTCGTAACCTTTGCCGCCGTACTTCTGGTCTTCGCTTATGCATTTCACATGGTTTTTGTAGTCCTCGCCCCTGTGAGGTGACAGAGGTCCCACCGTTAGGTGCATTCTCAGTGGTGGCTGTGTGATGTCAGCACGCTGCTCCTGCCTTCGGCAGTCCACGCCGGCCCACTGCGCACGCCCCCACCTCCTTCACTTACTGTGCTCACATCCTGCTGCAGAAACATTTTCCCAGCTGCACGCTGTTCAATAGGAAACCCACCGCCAAACTTTCCATACATGTTTTAAACAACAGGAATATTGAATCATAATGCTGTACAACTGAAACTAATTTAATGTTATATGTCAATTATACTTCAATAAATAGATACTATTTATTTATTTATTTATTTATTTATTTATTTATTTATATGTTTTATTGATTTTCTATAGAGAGGAAAGGAGAGGGGTAGAAAGTTAGAAACATCGATGAGAGAGAAACACCGATCAGCCGCCTCCTGCACACTCCCCACTGGGGATGTGTCCACAACCAAGGTACATGCCCTTTACTGGAATCGAACCCAGGACCCTTGAGTCCGCAGGCCAACACTCTATCCACTGAGCCAAACTGGTTCTGGCTTATTTATTTTTTAAAATATATTTTTATTGATTTCAGAGAGGAAGGGAGAGGGAGAGAGAGATTGAAACATCAATGATGAGAGAGAATCACCAACTGGCTGCCTTCTGGATACCCCCTACTGGGGATCGAGCCTGCAACCCAGGCATGTGCCCTTGACTGGAATCGAACCTGGGACCTTTCAGTCCGCAGGTTAATGCTCTATCCACTGAGCCAAACCAGCCAGGGCAATAAATATTTTTTAAATAGGGATCATCAGGTCACTAAAAAGTTCTGGGTCTCAGAGTCAGAAAAAAGAAAACTCAATTCTGTCTCCGTCTCTCGGAAGCTTTATGGGGCCCTCAGGGAATGTGTGGGCCAAGGCCAGGCGCAAACTCCCTGGAGGGAAAGAACCTGTGTTATATGTCAATCTTCCTCCTGGGATCCAGTACAAGCAAAGACTTCAGTCATTTCCCAAATCAGTTTTTAAATGTCACTGCTCTAGAGTAGAATAAAACGGACCGTCAGCAAACATCTCTCAATGCCAGAGGACAGTGGCACCTGTGCCAAGCCGCCTTTTGACTGGCCGCGTCTGAGGCTGAAGGGGAGGAAAATGGAGGAAGTGAGCCAGCATCTGGACCCCCCTAGAGATGCAGCCGGATGAACCTCAAGGCCTGTCTTGCCCCTCCCCCAGTCCTCACCTTTCCAGAGAAACCCCCTCCCCCAGTGGAACCCCAGCATCACCTCCGAGTTCCTGGGAAGGACTTCGGCTTCCCTCTCAGACGCCGCCTCACTGTGAGTTAGCAAACATCCTTCTGGCTTACAAACCCCCTCTTCCGTGTGATCAGCGCCCCATGCCCTGAAGCCTCACTCCAGGGTCCCGCCCCAGGGTCTGGGATGGTGGCAACGAGATGACAGCAAGCGCCCTGATGGGTCCGATGCTCTGATCACTTCAATTCCCTTCCTCAGTCTTCTTTTTAAATCATCCAGACCAGGCAAATGGACTTGTAACCCACTTGTAATTTTCTTCATAATTTTCTTCCTCAAATTTGCCTCTACTTTTTTAAAATATATTTTTATTGATTTCAGAGAGGAAGGAAGAGGGAGAGGAAGATAGAAACATCAATGATGAAAGAGAATCATTGTTCGGCTGCCTCCTGCACGCCCCCTACTCGGGATGGAGCCCGAAACCCGGGCATGTGCCCTTGATCGGATGGAACCTGGAACCGTTCAGTCCACAGGCTGACGCTCTATCCCCTGAGCAACACCAGCTCAGGCATGCTTCTATTTTTTAAAGCTTTGTGGAAACAGTGCTTCCAACACTGGCCTGGGCCTTCACTATGGATACAGGAGCTACTCGGAACTTACCAGAAATCTTTACCGCAGTCAATGCAGGAAAGGCACTCGCAGTTCCTGCAAACAGCCACATGCTTTTCCACTTGTATTTTCTTCACTGATTCACCACATGCATTGCATGTAAAAAATACCATTTTTAGCTAAATGATTAAGTATTCTCTATCCAAGATAGGCTTTAAATCTTGTCCTAAAAAGATAAAAAGGAAAGAGAGAAAAAAGGTAATTATCATTATAATCTGAACTTTTATTCCCAATAAATGATCACACAGCTAACTTTTCAACCATAATTTCACATGAAAATAACTACAAATTAACAAAATTAAAGTTGATTAACAATATATGTGTAACTCTACCACCATGTAAGCAAAATTATAATTAACAGTGACACTGATGGCCAAGATGAGTGCATGCACACCGTGTGCTGGGCCCTCTAAGAGCTTTGCACATATTAATTTATTTAACCCTCACGGCACCCCTGTGAGGGAAAACTATTGTTCACACTTTACATGAGGTATTGAAGCAGAGAGAGATTAAGTAACTTGCCCAAGGTCACACAGCAGTAGAATCAGGATTTAAACTTGGCAGCTGTCTCTAAGGATGAAGTTTTGGGAGCATAAGTAAAATATCTTACACTTTATAATAACTTTCTCTCCCTCCGTCCCTCCTTCCCTCTCTCACACTTAGGTGTGCACTGCAAATTATCTCAGGTCCCCAAATCCAGGAAAAGCAGAATGAGGGGAGGGGAGGGAGCTTTAGAGGGCAGAGAAGGGGCCTCTAATTTCTACAGGGCACACAAACATTCCTGTCGGCACTGCTATGCATCCTCAGTGTTAATACAGGAGGGTGTGTCCTCAGGCTGAGTGGACAGGGGGAGGGGCCTCCTTCTGTGGCTCCTTGTGGGATCGATAGAGAAATGGAACCTGCAGCTGCCCTAACTGCTGGGCACTGGAACACTGGAGGGCGGTCACAGACCTGGTGTCCCCAGCACTGTCAGCATGACCTGTGCCGGTACAGATACATAACCATTTAAAAATTCATGGCGCTGCCACTGTGCTCCAAAACACACCCCCATCTGCAAGCGTGACCGTCCCAGTAACTTCCCATGTGAGAGGACTGCTGTTTTATATCCAAGCTACTGAACCCGGCACTTCCTTGCTCACTATGAAAATTAAGGCAAGGATCAAGTAAATGGGTGCAATTTGCTTCAGGGCAAGACTTCTCCCCAAATCCTCAGCACCAAGGAGCACCTTCTGGTTCCCAGGGCCTGCTCACGCCTGCATCACACTCCTCTACTGCCCTGGTCACTGCCCAGGTCACTCCTGAGCAGAGACCGGAGCTGCTCACGCCCGCTCAGCCTTGAGTGGAAATGTACATCCTGGCTGCAGCTCCAGGCTTGACGAAGGCCCAGCTGATCTCTCATGAGGCCTCTGGCTCTTCCTGGCACTGCCGGACATCAGCAAGCCTGACTGGCTACGCTAAAACACAGGCCCTGGTCCAGGGTCCCCCTCCGCAGCTCGCCATCCGGGTCAGTGAGCAAGGGAGGGCATGTGGTCAGCTACAGCCTGGCACCGAATCCAGAGGAAAGCAACACGGCTGTTTGTTCTAGGATGTGCAGCGGCCACACCATCTCACCTGGCTGTAGTGAAGAAGTGTGGCACAGCTGCCAGCCTGGGAGCTGGCATCATGTGGGCCATGACGCAGCTCCCTCCAAGCCTAGCACTCTGCACAGGCAGACGGATGCTCAGACGGATGCTGCCTGCCCCTCAGGGAGAACAAGGGCTAGAAGAGCCAGCACCACCTAATCAGGTCAGTAGTCTGCAGGGCACTCTGGTACAAGAACAAGGGCAAACCATCAACTCGGCACCGAGAAACAGATGGCCATTGTCCACACAAGGTAGGAGCAGAGTGATAAGCCACTTATCTGCTGCACATGTGTAAGTTCTTTCATAATGAAGCTCAACAATGAAAAATACTCCTCAGAGTGAAGCTATGGCCAAGAGCCTTCGGGCCTTCCCTGCTGAGGTCTCCTGTTTTCTGATTGCAGGGAGAAGAGGGGGGAGGGGGCTTTGGCAAGTGTGCGATCCCATTGGGAGGCTCGGTCTGTCATCATGGAAGGTCCTGGGAAGGACAGGTGGAAGCAAACCGGCTGGACGGAAAGAAGCCAGTGATGTTGACAAACAAGATGCTGGCAGTATCTGCGCAAAACTCCTCTCTCTGGGGATGAGCCACACACAGTGTAAACATCAGTCAGGATGGGATTATCTGATCACATGTCCACCAAAAAAATACCTCCAGCCTCTT